TATATATATATTACCACAACTATAGGTGTACTTCTGAAATAAAGGTGTCAGAATCCTGGGTTGGTGACATAGTGTGTTGAGTTTTGTTCTATTTTTGATCTTTGATTTCATCATTGTTATCTCTATTAGTCTTTTGGTTTCTGTAACAGTATTTCTAGTAATTTAGTGCTGTGTTCTGTGATTTCTAGTTCTTCGATTTTGTTCCTGTGTCCTTTTTGTTCAATGTCAAGTCTGTGTCTGTCATGCACTTACTGTTTTACTTTGATAGTCCTTGTCCTTGTGCAGTGTGTTTAATTTTGCTTCTTCTTGTCTCCGGGACATGCTACAAGCTTGAGAGCAAGCAGACTTTGTCCGCTCATGGCCTTCCATGCCTGCAGTTCATCTGTCTGCTGTTCAGTCTCCTGCAGTTCAGTCGTCTGCTGTTCAGTCTTCAGCTCAATCTTCTGTTAAATATGCAGCTCAGTTACCTGCTCTGTCACCTGCTGTTCAGCCGTCAGTTCAGTTACCTGCTGTTCAGCCGTCTGCTCTTCAGTCGTGTGCTGTTCAGCCACCTGCTCAGTTGTCTGCAATTTAGTCATTAGCTCAACCGTCAACCCAGCCACCTCCATCCTCTGCTGGAAGCTCTGTAGAGCTTGTTCAACCAGCTAAGGACTTCATCTTGCTGGCCCTGCCAAGACAGACTGCCTGCACTGCACAGACCCAGCCGTTGCATTCCGAGCCAGCTTTGTTCCCTGTGCAGTTACAGTTAACTTCATTCCTGCCAAAAAACTCCACGCCTGCTGGTTCTCTTTAGTCTCTGCCAGAGGTTTCTGGGCCTCGTTATTCTGTCTCATCACCGCCAGAGGTCTCTAGACCTGCTGGCCCTGCGTCTGTCCCTTCTAGAGGGTCCGAGGGGCCCATTCAGCTGTCTTCTGTCTCCGCTGGAGGGTCCGAGGGGCCTGTTTCAGCTGTCTGTCTCCGCTGGACGTCCCAAGGGGTCCCTTCAGCCATCTGTCTCCGTCTGTCTCCAAAGAAAGTTGGCTCCAAGGAGCCGGTCCAACCATCAGTGCCACGAGCAGTGCCACCAGATCCATCATCTGCAGCAGCCATGTCACTGGCCATTCAGCCACCAGGGGTTGCCACACCATCATTTGGTCCTTCCCTCATCTGGTCCTGCCTTGTCTGGTCCTGCAGCTGCCACACCACGTCCATGTACATCATGTCCACATCCGTGTCCAGTTCCAGCATCGTCTGCTCGTCCATGTCCTTGTCCACGTCCAGTTCCAGCACAGCCTGCTCCTCCGCATCAGTGTCCAGTTCTAGCACGGCCTGCTTGTCTACATCCAGCTCGACGGCCACTTTCCAGGCGCCTCAGAGTGAGACCAGTAACCCTGGGGAAGCAATGGAGATTCAGTGCAGAAGCTGTTTGAGTAATAATCATGTGGAATGTGAAATGTTTGGACAATAATAATGTGGAGTTTGGTGAATTAATTAATACCAGAACACAGTGACTGTAGTTAGATGTAAATGTCTTTGTCAAAAAATACTCCAAGGTTCCTCACAGCGTTACTGGAGGCCAAGGTAATGCCATCCAGAGTAAGAATCTGGTTAGATACCATTTATCTAGGATTTTCAAGGCCGAGTACAATAACCTCAGTTTTATCTGAATTAAGAAGCAGAACATTAGCGGTCATCCAGGTCTATATGACTTTAAGACATTCCCGCAGTTCAACTAATTGGTGTGTGTTATCTGGCTTCATGGACAGATAGAGCTGGGTGTCATCTGCATAGCAGTGTAAATGTATTCTATGTCTTCTGATGATACTGCCCAAGGGAAGCATGGATAATGTAAACAGAATTGGTCCTAGCACTGAACCCTGTGGAACACTATAATTGACCTTAGTGTGTCAAATCAATTAAATTCAATTTTATTTATATAGCGCCAAATCACAAGAAAAGTCGCCTCAAGGCAAAGAGGACTCCCCATTTACATGCACAAACTGGAGTACGTTAGATAGATATGATACAAACCACTGCAGCACAGTACCTGTAATACCTCCAGCATGTTCTAAACGCTCTAATAGGATATTATGGTCAACAGTATTGAACGCTGCACTAAGGTGTAGCAGGACAAGCAGAGAGATGAGTCCACTGTCAGAGGCCATAAGAAGATAATCTGTAACCTTTACTGAAGGGATCGTAGGGCGATTGTGACTCAAGAGTTGGGAGGTCGCCTTGTAATCGGAAGGTTTCCGGTTCGAGCCCCAGCTTGGACCGTCTCGGTTCTTGTGTCCTTGGGCAAGACACTTCACCCGTTGCCTACTGGTGGTGGTCAGAGGGCCCGGTGGCGCCAGTGTCTGGCAGCCTCACCTCTGTCAGTGCGCCCCAGGGTGGCTGTGGCTACAATGTAGCTGCCATCACCAGTGTGTGAATGTGTGTGTGAATGGGTGGATAACTGGATGTGTAAAGCGCTTTGGAGTCCTTAGGGACTAGTAGAGCGCTATACAAATACAGGCCATTTACCATTTTAAAGCTGTTTCTGTGCTGTGATGACCTCTGAAACCTGACTGAAACTCTTCAAATAAGTCTGCAGATGATCTGTTAGCTGTTTGACAACTATTCTTTCAAGGATTTTTGTTATGAGAGGAAGGTTGGAGATTGGCTAATATTAGCTAAGGCCACTGGGTCAACAGATGGCTTTTTAAGCAATGGTTTAACTACTGTTAGCTTGAAGGTCTGTGGTACAGACCTTCAACCTAGGTTGATCATATTTAAGATTGAAACATTAATTAAAGGCAGGACTTCTTTGAGCAGTCTTGTAGGAATGGGGTCTAAAAGACAAGCTGATGGTTTGGAGGAAGTAATTACTGAAGTTAACTCAGAAAGATCAATTGGAGAAAAAGAGTAAGTGAATATCAATGGTAATTAAAGTGACCATGGTCATGAGTAATTTGTTTCTCTAATGGTTAAAATTTTATTTGTGAAGAAGTTCATGAAGTCAGTACTAGTTAACGTTAAAGGGATGGTTGGCTCAATAGAGATAGAGGTAAAATTATTAACAAGATAATCGATCTCTATTGGAGTAGCGTTCAGGTAGCTGCTCTGCTCTATTTTGGTACCGGGCACTGAAGATGAAAACAGTGGGTGGATTATATAATAATGCAGCTGCATTATATAGCCACATTAACAGAGGTTATTTTTCAACACTGTTACAACTCTAGTGACATATTGCTACACTTGCATTTCCTGGACCAAGGAGCAATCAGAATTTTTGTGGTGCACAGGAATATTTAATCTGGCTCTGTTCTGATGAAAATGGAACTGCTGGACAGGCTAATTTTGTGATTGTGGCCCTGCAAGTAGCATTATTTACTTTTAACCCTTAATGCTCCAGTTGGAGTGTGCCCGCTCCGTTTTGCGTAACTATTTTTAAACCCCTGTAGAACTGCAGCCACGTAAGCTAGCGCAATAATTTTTTTTTTGAATATGAAACCGGAGGAGTTGTATCTTATGCCATCAGCTTGTCCTAGGTCACGGTTTCCTTCCACATATAGCTTTGCAAAAACTGCATAAAAAGCATTTGCAGCAACAAAAACATAATATTCCAGAAACACGCTTTGCCAATCCGATCAGCTGTTCATAACACTTCCTACGTTGGAATAGACGTCAGCGCAAACTATTGCATGCCCGCCATTACTTGCCCGAAATCGGAAGTGATGTCATTTACGCGGAAATTACCTTCAGGGCCTTATAAGCCTATACTGGTGTTTTTTAAAATCATGTTTGACTTTATGACTTTCTGTGTCGTTTCTGGGATGCTGAGGACTCATATTGCACTGCTGGATATAGTTTATTTTGATGCATATGCTTCTTTTTTGCAAATTTGTATTATAATATTCATTTTAGTTTTTCCTGCAGTATATAAAAATTGGTGCATTTCAAAAATAAAACTATGAAGACACTCAAAATAAATTTCCTGTGGAGGGAAACTATTTTGTGCAACTCTTTTGTATTTACAGTTTTGAGGAATAAGACTCTTAAATTTCTCTAACTAGAAATATATGTTTAATTTTGTAGTTTATTGCACTTTTTTGCAGTTTATGTAATTACTATGCACTTAATGCATACATATTATTAAACATTGGGCTATAATGGTTGTATTGATGTATTGCAACTTGAAATGCTCCTAAAAATGGCACTACAGCATGTAAAAATATAATATAAGCTCTGGCAAACTTGGTCCTCTTTTAGATCTTAAAGGGTTAATGTATTAAGTGCTTGTACAAGATGTAAAAGACTTGTAGGTTGAGGAATTCGCAAAATATTTCAAGAACATATTTGCTTGCACAGAGCAGTGACCCTTCTTGGTTTCCTTTTAGATTAAAAACAGGATTGGAGTAATGAGGTACGTGGTGCTTCATGGCTGTCTATGGGATGACCTGTACATTGGCTTTCAGAACCGCATCAGCCGAGACCCAGACATCTACCACCACAAGTACAGACATTTTATCTGATATGTTTGAGAATTCTTTCATGTTCTGTAAATCTGTTTTTCTGTTCTTTGCTCGTTGACAACTCCTCATCCAATTGACTTTAAACGCAGTGGGTGTATTGCTGGCTTTTCAGGGAGTTTTTAGGAATGCCATCCAGAGTAAGAATCTGGTTAGATACCATATTTCTAAGATTTTCAGGGCCGAGTAATTAAGAAGCAGAAAGTTAGCGGCTATCCAGGTCTTTATGTCTTTAAGACATTCCTGCAGTTTAACTAATTGGTGTGTGTTATCTGGCTTCATAGACAGTTAGAGTTGGGTGTCATCTGCATAGCAGAGAAAATGTATTATGTCTTCTGATGATACTGCCTAGGGGAAGCATGGATAATGTAAACAGAATTGGTCCTAGCACTGAACCCTGTGGAACACCATAATTGACCTTAGTGTGTGAAGACGACTCTCCAGTTACATGCACAAATTGGAGTGTGTTAGATAGATATGATACAAACCACTGCAGCGCCAAAAATATTTGGCCAGATTTCTAGAAACCAGAGCTGCTCCATCCAAAATGGGATGGATGCCGTCTCTCCTAACTAGACCAGGTTTCCTCCAGAAAGTTTCCTAATCATCCAATTATCTATAAAGTCCACCTCGTGAGCTTTATAGACAATTATAAATTTTTATTTGTTTATCTTTATACATCTTTATATGTTTGGAGAGTTGTCTGAAGGACAACGATTTAGTAATCCTGGCCTCTGGCTGACAGGCTCAGTACATACTAACACGTGGAATATTACACAGTCTGAGGTGTGATGTTAAAGGGCTGGTCACGGTGGTTGTGCTGATGCAAGACATGCTCAGATAGATCTGAATTCAAATTTTCTTTTGTTTTTTTCAGTACCTGTCAAAAGCAGCTATTATTGTAAGAAAAAAATACATCTTATCCATAACTAGGAACACCTGTGACTACTCCACTCATGATTCACCTAAAACAAACCTCTTATATCAGTCAAAGTAGTTCAAATTCTCATAAAGTTTACTTTTTGAAACTTTTCTTATAATACATACAGGTGTATACTGAATTAGGTTTACATATGGTAAATACATTGCATTGGCACAACCATCACTACCAGTCAACTAATGTCACACTTGCAGACTGAGTAATGCTGGTGGTACATACTGAGCCTGAAAGAAAGCTGACCCCTGAGCTCACTTACACACAACTCTGCATACACTTTTGAGGATCTGACTCAGCAAAAATACAGCCAAGGTCACATGTAAAAGGACAGCCAATTCAAATGCTGGGTAAGTAAATAACGTACCTGCATTGCTTTGAGCAAAGCTTTAGGACTGTCATTGATACATATTTCTAAACACTTACAGATTCAGTTGTACATAGATAGATAGTGTGAAGCCCTTCTGCTCGTCTGTGGAAGTAGGGGAAGCAACAGTTAAGTGAAGAATATAGTCAGAGATCTCTCTCTTTGAAGGTATAGGCCTGTGATGTGGGTGTGGGATGGAATAAAATGTCTTTTGTTATTATCTAACTTGCAGTATATTGTATTAACAAATACAGCTTATAGCTTTCAGACTATATTGAGATGAGCAAACGTACTGGCAATCTTTGAACTCTTGTTATGGGAATGACTATAATCATTTTATACATATTGTATTCTGTGCCTATAAAAGAGCTGTGGCTCAGTCCATTAATTGAAGGTCAAGAGCTTTGGCCAGCGATATGTCTGGCCAGTTGCAATACACGCTTACAAAACACTTATATAAGGTTATTCTTAATTATCTCTTATTTGTTTATATTCTTTTATTAAGTTTTAAGTAGTATCACTTGATTAAAACATTCACTCAATATATTACACATATAGTTTCAGTTGTGTACGTGCTGGCCTTCTGTCTGGTGGAAAGGTTACAAGGTTTAGCTGGTGAGGTGAGAGGTGAAACAAAGTGCATTTCAGGTTGACACA